TTTTTATATTCAGCCTAATTGCAACGTAATCAAATTCGAAGAAATTATTCAAGAATTATTTAATGTTTGCATCTCACAGAAAGATGGATCATTATTTGGTATTCTTAAAGTTTCGATATTTTTCATTTTTAGAATTCTGTCATTTGGACGTTGAATGTAAAGTTTGAAGTATGAATACTGAATTGAGGTTCCTTCCCTATGACACTAAACCCAAAGTACTGGAAGACTTCTCTCTTCGATTGTTATTCTCTTAAAACGATTGTTTCATGGCTAAAGAACTAAATTAAACATTTTGGATATTTTATGGTAAGCAACTTTCACCAAGCTATTCACCAACTTCAGTAGCTGTATACGTCCAAGGGAAAAATGAAATCTCATATATTCCCTATCTTTTAGAACTTTGAAGCTCCCCCGTGAATATACGATTAACGCAAAACTCAGAGTTATTTGCAAAAGAAACATCCCCAACAGAAAGATATCCTTCGACATGCATTTATGGAAGTTTAAAAGAAATAAATAATCTTTGCACAGTCACAAAGAAGACACTAGTTAAGAGTTTTGGATTCAAAGGGGATATGTAATGAGTCTTTTTAAATTTGACAATTTATGAAGCACAATTTGCACCTTATATTCCTCTTTGTGTGCATCAGTCATTTCACGTGTCAGAGTAAACATGTTTACACTGAGTTTTTATAAGCAAGTCCTCTGAATGTCTGTTGACAAAGACCACCTGGCTTGGTCAACGAAAGACACGACATCATGTGACATTAGATCACCCAGCTCTTCATAGTGCATCTCTTAAACTATCCTTTAGGGTCAAATTCTATTGATTCAGAAAGCCTAGTTCCTTTCGTTAACCTGTAGTTGAAACACTAGCCATTCATTAGAAAAAGTCAAACTAAATGTTCAGAATCACTTTGTAACCCTCTCATTTTCAGCTTAATGATTTTCTTTCAAGACAATCTTATTTCCGTTCATCTTATGATTAATACTGTGCCAATCATTTCATACTCTTTGATACCAGACACTAGCTAAATAAAATGAAGATAATCACAGTGTAGCAGTAGGAGTAAAGACATCAAGTCAGAAGATAGTGTGTTCACTTTAACATAACTAAGAAAAAAAGATTGTTATATATCACTGTATGGTCAATTCTCATGATGTGTCTTGTATCCAGTCAAGTGGCACAAAACATCAGGTAGTACTTTTGTAGAGCGAAAGAAAGGATAAAGTAAGCAACACTATTTGAGTATAAATAAAAATATCTTAATTTGTCTCAGATACATTTTCCTCTGAAATTTTCAAATTCGCATGCATAAAATGTTCACGTATACCGAAGTGGCTACTGCCATGGTGTGCACCCGAGAAACATTGATAATTCTGAATTTTAATTTTTTTGGCAACCTCCCCTCTCCTTTTATGGGTTATAAGATACTGAATTGCAGCAAACACAACAGTTCAAATAGGCAGCTGCATTTCCGGAATTGTTTTCATAGGAAGGAGATATCCTGTTAAAAGCAAGAAATTTTCTTGAAAGTGGAGTGTCTTGTCATCCTTTTATCATTAAAAGCAGACTAGTGATACCTGGTTGAAAGTAGTGGAATTTACTTTTTAGAAATTACGTGACATAGACTGAAACCACTACGCTGTAGGTATTATAAAAGAAAAGGCTGATCATTTCAAAGATCCGTAATTTTAAGATATTTCACGCCTTCTTACTTTTATTTACGACAGCAGGTGACGGAGTTTCATTTAGTATTTTTTGACTACTGTCTGCAAATAATCCGAAACAGATCACTAGGACTGTTCACAGACACATCATTTTTTCATTGAAACACACCGCTTCCCTTCAGTGTGTTTATTTTCAGCATAAATGGAAATAATGATGAAGTACCGCCAGTTTTTTCCGTCTTCAGCCACTTTTTCGTTTCAAAAAGATTCGCGCGTGTATATCGTCGTAGAGATACTCCACAAGAGAACAAAAGTGTTGGTAAGCATTCCCGAAATTTCAGCATTTCATTCGGTGATACTATGTCGTAAGATGTCATTTTCAGACAATGCATGTGTCTAACACTGTTAGTTCCCCCAGACTTTATCTAGCAGGTAGTTAGCACGCGAAAGAGGGAAGGTAGGGCGTAAAGATAGCAACCTTACACGGCAACGTAAAACGACAATATCGCTACTAGAATTTCAAAGCTTGAAGCCCTATGTTCCACTCTAAAAGCAAGGAATTTAGAAAAAATGTGTTACAATGAAGAAAGAACGAATATGCTTATCGGATAATACGAGCTTCTTTTTACTTCGTACATCCTAAATAAATCAACTAGATGTTACAAAATTTCTGAACATACTTACTACAATAACTCCAATTTATAGACAGAAAGCATGAGCAACATGATTTCAAAGATAATATAAGTAGACGTTTATTTAGTGTTAAAAGAGTAACTATTTATATAGTAATTAGACAAAGGGGTGGAGTTCTGATTTCTGTCGGAAACAAGAATAGATTAGAGACAAAATACCAGATGGAACAACAAAGTTAATTTATACATATTGTGGTGGAGAATTCAGGAGGGTGGGGGTAAATAGTGAAGTAACATTATAAAGCAATTTAATTCAGTAGATTTGAAGCTATAATAGTGAGTTCAACTCAGTGAGTGAAAATCAAAATCAAGATTAAGTGGAATGGTACGCAACAAAAACAAAAGCACACGAACAAAACAATTACGTGTATGGAAAGATCAGTCACACTCTGTATCTGCATGCATGGGTTAAATCGAAGTCTCTTGATGGCAATGGCTTCTGCGAACCGAAGTAACCATACTTTTCTTTGTATACTGATTATTTTGAAAGCTTGACTAATTTCCACTGTATGTCGCTTATCAATTAGGAGTCTGGCGATTGCACTTGAAAATACTTTGTTGCCTTGAAAACAGAGACTTTTGGGGATATGCTCGGAGAATCTAGTAGACGCCCTCCTCTCAGTCCATCCTATGTATTTGCTGCCGTGAGTTCAGGTGATTTGGTAAATGCAGTTGCAGTTGACATGAGCAGGATACTTATCTACATGGATTTAATAACTTCTTTAAGAGGTACGCAGATGATGACAAGTCGAAGAAATAAATGATGGTACCATCTTATTCTGCAAAAACCGTTGTCATTGTTTTATTCAAATTCATAAAAGGGGAATAAGTGTTTGAACTAAACTCCTTTCTTAAGAATTTTGTGTAGGAAGCCAGTAAATTTTACAGAAAAGTTATTTAGTGGTCACTGACTTTCACCTTTCTTCTTTTTCACCATTTTTTTTCCTTTACCAGAATATGTTTGTTCAGCTTTTCTCTCTGTACTGATAGCTATCGAGTCAAATAAACTCTGCCTACAGTCTTCAAAACAATGCTATCAACTTCAGTATCTGGGATAAGATACCTTTAGAATTTTATATTTGTAGCAGCCAGTGTCTAATTTCATTTGAAATAAGCGTACAAAACCGAAACCTGATTGTTGACTCAATGACATTCACCTTATTTGATGCTATTGGCTAAGAGATTTAACAGCTTATTTCTGAAGTCTAGATAGGAAACCTAATTTTTAAACTAGGCATAGTTTGCGTTTTTTAAATGAAAAACTTTGTAATAACTAAAAATGACCATTGACATTCATAATTTACTCCTAGGCACTTGATGAGTGAACTTTGGACTATGTTCTTTTTAACTATACCCGTTTTCCTCGCACAGTACAAAAGTTTTGGTACTTATAATCGGTTAATTGTAAAGTCAAAAACAGTATTTTTAAGCGAATTGTAATAGTATCCTGAGGTATTTACAAAATACTGAAATCTCTTCTGATCTAATTTTAACCGTCGGTAGTAACTTATTACAGAAAGACAGACAATGCTCCATGGTATAGCTGCTGATTTCTACAAAATTATAGGCACAGACAAACTTTATTTTGATAAACTCTCTTTGGGAAGGATTAGTGAACCATTATAATTTTAAGGTATTTGCCAATCGAAGAAGATGTATATCACCACCTGATCTGGCTCAGGTGATCTGTATCTGTTAAATCTAAGTGGATTCTACGTGACCTGCTTTCACGAACTCTTGTTTTAAGGATAGGCAATGAAGTGAACACACAAATCGACAATTTCATTTGTTAAGTAAGTTGCCACAACCCTAACGAACTAGTTGTGGGCGAAATCGTAACGAGGACGAAAGAAACTTGTCAAAGTGTGCATAGTATGCCTTCAAATAAACATCCGACAACCTACTATTACATGGAGGGTGAACTGGTGTACAAGTAGTTCAAGCAGATGGGTTGAAACATGGCAAAATGTGATCAGAAAAAGACAAAGAACCAACAAAGAGTATGAGCTATTTAGGAGAATATTAGCGAATGGCATCGCTTCTCGAAATACTAAACACCAATGGTTGAAGATCGTAAACAAATAGATTTAGACCGATAGCACTGTACTCATACCTTATTCTTTGGGAAGCTTCCATCAATTTATGCCGTTGAATGGAAAAGGATGAATCTATTAGGCTATGATTAGTTAGGTAAATAAATGACAAAATATTTAAGAAATGTAAAGCTATTGCTGAATAGCCTTTCAACTTCTGAAAACTAGTATCAGGTAAATTTCTATTGGAAACCAACCTATGAAACGTTCACTCTTGTGTTACACCTTCTGGATATTCTTTCAATCCCAACGAATAGACCGTAAGAACAGGAACGGCATTAATCTAAATCATTTCCTACTGAAAGGCACTGACTTCAGGACAACATCATAATAGGTAACTATTAATATACTTTATAAATCAACTGAATCACAATCGCAGTAGATACAATCCATTTTACTATGGAACAAAAAGTAGAATATGGAGTAGATAACAATTAAGAAAGAAATTTTCAAACTGACAGAATATTGAGTACTTTAGGGAGTAAACTGTTCACACCTTATGCCTTTGTAGGTACCCATCATCTACACAAAGAAGCGTAAAAGGCAAATGTTTTTTTTTGTAAATTAAGCCCAGATAAATGATCACAGAACTTGACTGTTGTTTTTTTTTTATTTTACAAAAGAAGAGGGTATTCTAGAAAATAAGTCACAGTTCACAGCCCATGGTAAAAAGAACTGGACAAAACAATGTTGTCAGCTTACTAAAAAAATAATGAAGCGATGCTGAAGGACCACAACAGCCTGCAAACAAAAGAAAAATATTGATCAACAAAAAGTAAGAACATTTATGTATATCCTAAGTGATTGGTAAATCAATTTCATCAATAAAATCGACAACGGAACGACTCATTTATGCCATCGAAACTCGTGCGTGATTGGTTGTTTGTAGGTCATATATCTCACAGGTATGTTAATACACAATCTTAGTAGCCGTAATAATACATTGAATGGTAGAGCGACCTTGATGACAAAAACAGGATATTCTCTGCATTCAATAACTGGCTTCCTTAACAAAGTTGTTAATATAGTCATGAGGTGGTTGAATCACATATATGTATGTTATATGCTTTGTTATTATCTTGAAGTTAGGATGTCTGTCACACGTTACCATGTCAAGCTAAACATTGTAGGTAAAACATCAACAGTTTAGTTACTAGTTTTAACTTATCACAGGCATTATATCCTCACTACTATAAGAAGCAAATACTTCGAAATCATTGTCAATGATTACGGGGGTTAAACTAGCACTTAATACAGGCGACAACCCAGAAATATATTTCTGTTTGTATACTGAAGTTGAAAATAAATACAGTAACACTTGATGATCAATAATCAGTGGAGAACAGTATAGTCTACTTTATTCAAAAGCTAAATTGTGAACTGGGCGTAAAGTCTTAGCTGAAACATGCAAGTCATTTGATGAATCCACAAACTATGATCACCTCAGCTGGAGATAAGATGGAGAATTTACCTCCTATCCAACATTTTGCACGACAAAATGATGAACTGCTGGGACTGATACTGTCAAATAAAACGACTGCTCAATAAAATAAATGCATCCTTAAGACTTCTAACTTTTGTGCATACAGTTAGATATTCGGTAATTCTTAAGGATTAAAATAGGTATAAGGCAAACACATTAGAATGATAACTCCAATTTAAAAATGGATCATCATTTATTTGAGTAATTATTATACCGTTACCTTTCAGACTTCATTCAGTAGGCCTCAGTACCGGTTAGTAGTAAGTATAGTTATCACAGACAACCAATGTAACAATTTGACATAAATTCTGATTTCGTTCACTAACAACTGAATAATCAGGAGTTAAACTTTCTGAATGGTAAGTAAACTACTTCTCACAAATTAACTATCAAAGCTCAAAGCAGGTATATGTAAGAGAACAATTAGAAATAATAAGTGTCTGTTTTATCAGCTCAGCGTTTTTCCAAATTAATTATGAGCTTCAGATAGTATAAGCAAGTTGGGATTCACTTCGACTGACAAGTGGGTTCTCATTTATCATTTAGCAACTACCGGGGTGTAAAGCAATAGATAGTGTATAGAATGCACATCTAATAGACCTAGTAATCACATCAATCCATAAAATTTAGTTGATCACTGTTTGTTAAAAGCCACAATCTAGTTAACAAGGTCATTATTTAAATGTTAGGTAAACGTCATATAATAAACGTGTAAACGAGCGGAAACAAAACATACATATTAAGCGTTTTGAATATTACAATATTTTCAGTTAAAATATTAGTACTTACTGAAAGGTGACATCAACTGCCCGAACTGAAAAAATCTGTTAACCCATCTTGCGTATTAGAGGAACTGTCATCAACGGGGCTGCCAGCATTCGATGCAGATGAAGAATTAGGCAACAGTTGATGCGGGTTGTCTGTGCGATAATTTAAAGTCGGTTTACGTGTAGGTGGTTTACGTGCACGATTCTGTATAGGTATTAGATTTAAAAGAGTTATGTAAATGAATAAAATAGTAATGGAAAACACTTTTAATAAGTTGCATCAGTCAGACTGAACTTTATTTCTCAAAAGATATATATAAATGCAATGAAATGTACATTTTTGCATAGTAATCAGAGTGACTTTACTAACACAAAAAGAATTCAATGTTCCAGAAAGTATGGTTTCAACTGTAACTGAAGTCTAAACTCAGAAACAAAGTTAAGATACAACAAGACCAAAATTCTGTCCTAAAACTCAGACAATACATACAAAAGTGAAGAACTTACTTTTAAGAGAAGCAGAAAGACTGATATTTTTACATCTAAGGCCTTACAATTTTATTACATATGAGAATATGAAATTATCAAAATTAAATGAGGAAGTACAACAAGAAATACGTCAATGTATCATACCTATACTCAAACAGAGAAGGCATAATTCCCAACTTAGCACTGAAGAGCAAAATGCATTGAAGAAACTGAAGAATAGAAAAGATATAGTTATTCTACCGGCTGATAAAGGAAGAACAACAGTAATCCTGGACACAGAAGACTACATATAGAAAGCAGAGGATTTACTCAAAGATAATAATGTATATCAACAGTTGACAAAAAACCCTATGCAAACATTAGATAACAAAATCAGAACAACGTTAAATAAACTAACGAAATCAGGACAAATTACAGAACAAGATCAACGGCGAATGAAATCTAACGGACCTGTTTTACCTCGATTCTATGGTAGACCAAAACAACACAAACCAAACATTCCCTTACGACCAATCTTTTCGCTTCCAGGAACACCAACATATAATCTATCTAAAGAACTTTTCAGGAAATTAAATTACCTAACAGAATCATGCGACCATTCTATCAATTCGTCAATCCAATTTTTAGAGAAAATCAAAAACATTCAAGTAGAAGACAATGAAATAATGGTGTCCTTTGATGTCACAGCATTATATACTTCAGTTAGTCGAAAGCTAGCTACAGAAACTATGCAACAATTACTCTATAGTGACGAAAACATAAAAACGCAATGTTAAACTTGGATAGAACTCATAAAATTATGCCTTACAACATAATTCCAATTCAATACTCAAATATATATGAACAAATAAAAGGAACACCAATGGGATCACCCATATCAGGATTAATAGCTGAAGCCGTTATGCAAAGATTAGAATTAATAGCTCTACCTATAATTAAACCGAAAATCTGGGTACGTTACGCTGATGATACATTTGTAATAATTAAGAGAAATGATTTAGAATATACCCATAAATTAATAAACAACATATTTGAAGACATCAAATTCAAAAGAGAAGAAGAAGTAGATAAAAAATCCCATTTTTAGATGTCTTAATCAGAAGAACCAACACAGGAAATTTAGAAACACAAGTATATAGAAAATCAACGCACGCAGATCAAATACTCAACTATACTAGCAACAATCCAGTTACTCACAAACGAAACTGTGTGCAGATATTGTTTAAAAGAGTTCAAACACATTGTAGCACTCCAGAGTTGAAAAGAATGGAAGGAAAATACCTACAAATGGTCTTCAGAAAGAATGGTTATCCACAAAATTTCATCAAAAAGTGTTTAAGTCGAATCAAAACACCACAAGAAAATTCATCCTACCGTACATGAGAAATATCTCTGAAATAACAGCTAGAATACTGAAACCGTTAGATATAGATATAGCAATAACCGCTCCTAAAATAGCGCCTGCTTGTTTCTGTCAGTGTGGCAAACTTTTCAGGTTCCTGGCTCTCGCCCAGGCAGTCCGGGTTCTACTCCCTATGCCGGAGCGCTTTGTGTGTATCAGTGGTTCACTGGTAGGATGCTGGCCAGCCATGCTGTGTGTGGCCTGCGGTTCGATCCCCGGCCAACGCACTCCCAAACCTGGTTAAGCCGGTGGTAAGGTCGGTAAAGAGGGAAGGTTGGGTGTGAGACTAGCAACCCCAGCTCATAAAAATAAAGCCACTGCTACCGAAACTTCAAAGATCTAGTCTGAAGCCCTATGTTTCACTGGGAACGTAAAGGAATAAAATAATAATTTCACACACCCTACGAAGTTTCGCCTAAGTAGAATTCACAAACTGTAATATTGCTCTTAATTTGTGATTTACTATTTTAAGAGTGATGTTGTAATCTACCTTGTGAAGAGTTGAACTAATCTAAGTCAAGTGCATTTTCCCAGAGGGAGAACACTCACAGTGATGAGGAATTTCACGGTTTTAAAAAACTGTTTGCGACGTCAAAATTGAAGTACTTATTACAATTACAATGCCTTTTGTACCTGAAATTCCATTTTGTGGTTATCTTGTAGGCTTGAGATAGTATTTTTCACTACAAAACAATATTTCGCGTAAATATTTCGATTATTTACAATAACTAACAATAGACACTTCACGATTTCTTAACAGAACCGTTACTCATTAAATGAATAAAGAACAATCAAAATTTGTGAAATTATTTAGAGCATTGGCCTACACTGTAGGAAAATCAGACCGCTAACATTCAAAAACTCACCATTAACATTTCTGATACTGACTTAAACTCTGATTGTTCAGCGTCATCGTACATGGATGATCTGGGACTGGAATCAGTTGACAGGTTGGATGAGGTATTGTCATATGAAGAGGATTCATGGAGTTCAATTTCAGGATTTGTCGGCGTCACTGGATACGTTTCTTCTTTGCATTCTGAATTCCCAGTTATTCTTAGTTTCAGTCGACTTTTCATCTCACCCAGGATTTCATTTCCTGAAGTCATAAAAGCGTATATATATATAATATATATCCTAAATAAACATTCAACGTTGAAAAAGCAAATTATTCATTACTACCACGCCTGATGAAACTTTTATCTTTGAATTACGAGAGAGTCACCAGGCAGATTCTAGGTTGGAATGATCTTTGTATCCCCTGTAAAATATTACCTCTTTTTATTGTATTGTAGTGAGTACATCACTTAGACCTCCTAATACAGTTAAGAATAAGAGGTATCTAGAGACTTTATTGTATTTTATATTTAATGTAGACTATACGAAATCAACCACATCTCAATGGTCATTATGAATCTTGATAAATCAGATACCAAATAAGTTATTAAAATCGGTGTTGGCAACATCTTACTGAAGGCTAACAGGTTAAAATGAGCCAAAATAGGATTGGCCGCTTTTATTTGAATAAAGATAAACCTAAAAGACAAGAAATCCTATCATCGCTTAAGAATTTATGTTCAAAATAATTATCATTAGATGGTTAATTTATTTACACAATCACGCTATGCAAAGGTTCAGTCAAAGGTTGAATGGCTTGCAGTAAACGTAATTAACTATAACACTGAGTGAAATAAAGCCAAGTACCTGAAGAACCATGATTTGCTTCAAATATTTAAATATTGTGACTGTAAAACGTACAAAGCTTAGATTCAACGCTTCCTGCTGATCAATTTCGAATATCTGACATTAAAACCTTTTCTTTGGTAAAATCCAAATAACTGAACATAACAGCTAAAACTAACCACAGAAGGTAAATGAAACAAAATATGAGTACACACTGCTGAGAGAATTTTGAAGAATAATATCAAAAATCATGTTCTTGTCCCGTAAAAAATGCACCTTCAAGTAAATAGCTATCCGAAACTCGGGAATGATAGCCACTAAATCATCACTCTGTAAAACCTTGGGAATATCTAGCTCGTTGACGACGAGCGGTAATGAGGTACCCTTATGACGACTACATCAGTGAAGAAATAAGTGTCCTATACTAGAACTACAATGGAAAGCGGAAATCACTAGTTTAAGGATAAATAGTGAAGTGGGTGAATTCATTGATCTTTCTACTAATTTGAAAAGTTGCATGATCCCTAAAGAACTGGCCGCTGAACAAATCTTGCCATCATTTTAAGTATCCTTTTACAAGGCTTATTGACCTGAACTAATGCACTTTTTGTGAAACCTATAAAGGACAGCCAGGGGGACCCAATTACCAAGGAAGAAAGACAGATTAAACAATGGGCGGACCACTTCAAAGGACTCTTGAACCGACCACCACCTGCAACCCATCCAGAAATACCAACAACAGCACGTACACAACTGCAAGTTGACACCAATCCTCCAACGAAAGCTGAAGTCTTGAATGCAATTAAGCTTCTGAAAGCTGGGAAAGCAGCTGGACCAGATGGAATACCCCCAGAAGCACTGAAAGCGGACCCAGAGACGACAGCAGGTATGCTGACTCCATTATTGCAAAAGGTCTGGAAGGAGGGAAGGGTGCCTACTGACTGGAGGAAAGGTTACCTCGTGAAACTACCAAAGAAGGGCGACTTAGGCCTCGCTCTGCAAGAACTGGCGAGGAATCATGCTCCTGTCGACGCCAAGTAAAATCCTGATTCGCATCATCCTGGAGAGAATAAAGGATGCACTGGATACAGAACTCCGACCAGAACAAGCTGGATTCAGGAAAGGCAAATCATGTTCTGACCAAATTGCAACTCTACGCATCACCATCGAACAAAGCATGGAATGGCAATCAAACCTCTACCTCAACTTTATAGACTTTGAGAAGGCCTTCGACAGCGTTGACCGCGAAGTAATTTGGAAACTACTCGAGTACTACGGCGTACCCCAAATATTCATCAACCTCATTCAACAGCTGTACGACAACGGCACATGTCAAGTGATCCACAACGGAAAACTCAGCGAAGCGTTTGGAGTAAACGCAGGAGTCAGACAAGGGTGCTTATTATCACCAATGATATTCCTAATTGTGGTGGACTGGATTATGCGTCAGACAGTGGGAAACAAGAAGACAGGGATATCCTGGACCACCGACGTGAAGAATCTAGAAGACCTGGATTTTGCACGTGGATGATTTATGTTTGATGTCACACAAAATTGAAGACTTACAAGCGAAAATCAACAAACTGGTCGAAGAAGCAGCAAAGACAGGACTACAGGTGAACATAGACAAGACGGAGGTTATGAAAATAACCAACCAACAACAACAGCAGCAGCAACAACATCCAGCGCCAATCACCATCAACGGGAGAGATTTGAAAGAGGTTACTTCATTCACTTATCTAGGGAGCATTGTCTCAACTACAAGAGGAACGGACGAAGATGTCAAATTGAGAATCGGGAAGGCGAGAAACACATTCATCAACCTGAAACCAATCTGGAAATCTTCGTCACTCAGCATTAACAGCAAAATTCGGATTTTCAATACAAACGTCAAGTCAGTTTTGCTATACGGATCAGAAACTTGGTGGGTCACAAAGAATATTTTCAACAGGTTGCAGAGCTTTATCAACAGCTCTCTTCGTTCTATACTCAAGATCGGATGGCCGGAAAGAATCACCAACAAGAAACTATGGGAACAAACAAAGCAAGAACCAATCGCTCAACAAATATGCCGGAGAAAGTGGAGATGGATTGGACACACGCTGAGGAGGCTGCTGGGTGACATCTCGCGTCAGGCCCTCGAGTGGAACCCGGAATGGAAGCGGCGAGTGGGACGTCCAAGGGTGACATTGGGGAGATGGTGAGAAGAAGAGTTGAAACAGTATGGACTAACATGGATGCAAGTGAAAAGTACAGCAGAAGACAGAAGCAAGTGGAGGCGTGCAGTTGAAGCCCTATGTTCCACTAGGGACCCGAGGGAACAATAATAATAATAATGCACTTTTTGTAATGTTCCACGTTGATAAGTCAGTCAGTCTGCCAATTTCCGAGATCAAAGAGTATTTGAAAACTCATCCATATACCAAATGGAAACAGTTGTACCAATCGACGATCATCAGAACATATCTCCATTGCTAAGTTCTATTCTGTTTTCTTATAAACTTATTTGGAATTCAGACCTACACGTTAATTAATGTCTGAATACAGTCCTGTTGAATATTACTATACATGTGACTGTATAGTGCCTTTATAAATATATTTTTGTGTGTGTGCAAAGTAGCTACAATGATCACCCGACTAATTAAATCCACGTGGTTATAGGTACTTAAAGATATCTCAATGATTACATTGCTAAACAGAATGATCCCCCACAAACACAAAATCTATAACCAATTGCGTGCCAATACTATGACTAAGTGATCTTCTAAACAGATGATTACAACGTGATCTTACGGTAGTGACTGAAATAGTCTTAATGCTCGCCGATGAGTTTTGCATTTGTAACAATGCAGAATAAAATTGCAGTTCTTGTCCTATCAGCGCAAGTTCAATTTGATGATAATTATGGAAACTAGTTAATCATGTTGTTTCAGAAGCATAATTACTGTATTGTTCAAATGACAAATGTAGATAGAGAATGTTGTATATGTCAATCAAAGTGACTGCTATTGATTTGGGAACAAGGAAAATGCCACCAGAAGAACATCAAAAAAATAAGTAAACTTTGATTAAGATTTACTGAACCAATGGTGAAATTCACATAGCTGACGAAGTTATTTAACTCAACCGTAGTTAGTATGCTTTCAAGGAAGATAATAGTGAGTGGGTGACTGATCTACAATAAGCCATCATCCTACTTGTCCACGAAATGTAGCAATAAAGAAAGTCATTGCTTACTATTAGATTAAGACTGAAACTCACTACATGCAATCATACCTCTGCGAAACCTACAGATGGTCAAAACAGTAAAAATCCTGACAACCTTCCGGTATTTGTGGAAACTTTGTCTGTTTGATTACTTCATATGAAATAACTACGTGGTAAGAAAGTGCAATATTCATGAGTTCAATTCAGCTAGTACATTTAAAACTCATTAGTAATCCAGAAACTGCTGATAGTCAGACTTTATTATAGGCCTATTTTATCTTTCCCATTATCCTACCCTTTCCCCTATCACATGTATGTGCGAACTTCAAGCTTAGGAAGCATGATTATATAGTCCAAAACTGATTAACAGTGGTCAAAAGAATAAGTATCGCACCCGAAAATTTGTATAAAGTCAATTTCAAACTGGTGCTGTATAGAATTGTGTTAAGTAACTTATTAATTTACTTAACTCAGTTGGTATAATGTTTAGTCACCTGATCCAACATCGTTTTTCAGTTAAGAGGTAATAAATTGCACTCACAAGTTTATAGTATCTGGAAAATTCGCAGACTGCCAGTTTGCCAATTAAGTAACTATAAATGGTTGAGAAATTCAATAACTCTTTCTACAGAAACTGCATTTTTATTTTCGAGATTCGTACAGTAATAGTGACAAACACTTAATTATTAAATACCCTATTCATTCGAAATGCTAATTCCAAGGAATAATGACTAGGCACTATTCTTTAGTGCTGACCTAAGTCTATCATCTGCTAAGTCAGAAGACTTTCCATCGCCGCATACTTTTAATTCATGTTGGTCTCCTGGAGATTGCGTCCGGTCAACAGTGGTGATATCCGCGATCTGAGTGAACAAGATGCATTCAAACTGACTACCACAATCAGCAGGTATTCTGATATCTGATATTTGGAAGATAGATAACTGATGAGTGCCAGGGAGAATGAAAATGAAGCTTAGGTGTTAATATTTGTTTGAAACACAGGATACGACATTTTCAAATCACCTAATTCGGTAAAAATCCGATTCTTTCAGAATGGAGGATCTAAACACCATAGCCATCGCAAAACGATTTCATATCTTTACCATATCAATATCTAATGGCTGAATATCTTAAGATTAATGAGATTCGTCTCATAGTGAATTCAGTTTTTTAGGATAGATAAAGGGAACTCAGAAACCAATTAGCTGCATACTCACGTGGGCCAAATAAAGCAATTCCACCAAGTGGACGATCCACAACTTTCTTACTTGGTGAAGTGGGACTTTCACAGACAGCTTTTGCATTTGAATCCTAAACAATAAAAAAGCTTAAAATAAGTTAACGAAAAACTGACAACAAAAGTCAAAATGTCCTATCCATAAACAGTCACAAACAGAAAATTGAAACTGGTAAACAATGTCAGCAGACAATGAACTGGAAAAGAAAACAAGCAATAAAAGTTAAAAAGCAGGATTTAATGAATTCATCAAATTTCGGTATTGAACTTTATTGCTTGCTTTAAATTCGTATCAGGAAATAAATGTTTTCAATTCTTGGAAAAGAAAAGAAGGAACAGAAGTAGGCAAACAGCTCAACAGAAATTAGATTCTTCATTCGTAAGTTACATAGTTCAAAGTGAAAAATGATCAAAGTTCCTTTTAAGAACTAAAAACATTTATAACACATTATGTTGCATGCTTAATATTTTGCATGGATAACAAGATAACGGGCTCTGTATTACTGGTTGATTTTGAATGCTTTCTTATCTTAGTAAATTTTCACCTCACACTGTACCACTGGCAAAGTTGAGAATTTAATTCTTCGTACTGCCAGTTCACCTACACTGGTATCACGAATTCAGACAGTTTGGGGTGATTTACTCTTGTGAGATGAGTTTAGTCGGGTACGCTACTGATAAACTCGGTCCCAAACTTATGAAACTGCTGTTCCGTATTTAGATCACTTCACTGCTACGGGTTGTTTCCAAATACTCATACTAACTGGCGGTATTTAACAGCTCAATGAAAAATAAAAAATAAGTTAATCAAGAATGTTACTAAAAGCACAACACCCTTCTGTCGAAGTAGATGCGATGTCTTTCATAAACGATAGAAAAGAGAAAAGAAAAAGGACTAATCACAATTCTAAGCATTTTAAGATTATTTTTGTTCTGAAGACTGAATCTAATGCCACCAGAGTGTTTAGAATGAACTGGCTGAAGACCTATATGCAACTAAGTCTTAAGTTTAAAATCTTTTTCTGAATGAAAAAGTTTGGGAAAGAAGAATGCGAAAAATTCTGCAATTTTATAGTTTGCAGACCTTGTTTGACTATTAGTATCGTCTGAGTTAGCTTTAAAGGAGCCTTCAAACATACGACATCAAAGATTATGACTTCACAGCTTAGAATAAACGGGTAACATAAATACACAGAGATGTGAAAATATTTCTAGTCCTCAAACATTACATCTCTTGAAAAATGTGGGTTTTTGAAACTAACGGTTGCAACAGTCTTTCGCACTCACTATTTTTTCGTAAATGAAGTATCAAAATAACAAATTAATACTACCGCAAAACTATATTTATTTTATTCCTTTTGCGTTCTCAGTAGAGCATAGGGCTTGAAGCTTGCATTTTGAAGTTTCAGTAGCAGTGGTCTTTATTTTTACGCGGTGGGGTTGCTAGTCTCACACCCAACCTTCTCTTCTATTTGAGGTTAAGAAGTGCATCACTCTGGGATCGAACCCCGACCAAATCAGTGGTTCGTGAGTATTCAGCCACTTAACCGCCGACGCAAAACTCTTAAACACTGAATATATTAGTATTGCCTTGTCACTAGAATTTGTTAATATAAAAGTTGAATCAAGCATAGATAATGGATAAATATATATTGGTTCTCGTTCTCAAATTAATTCATACAACAAAATAATCTCCACAAAAGTGGTTCTGGGCAAAAATAAACTGAAAGTTTATTTGTTGAACTTTTATTTTCTTTATTATTTCATCGCAAGGTGAAATGAGCCTGAGAATCATTGGAAACCAGTGAAGGGCTAGATAACTGTTTCTCCATAGTTTAGGGCTCTTCAGCAGTGCGTACCCAAAGGTCACAAGCAAGGTTTTCGTGAGATGTTAACTGTGATATCGTTTCGTGACGATATCTTTACTGAAATTAATCAAATCTCTCTAAACGTAACATTGAACTGAAAATTGTAATCGATACTTTAAGTCTATTAAGAAATCAATGAGTAAAGGTGGAATGATTTTCAAAACTATGACTTCGAAGGTGCTATGGAGTTTTTTGAAAGCTTTGCAGTAGGTATATTAAAATAGATACAAGAAAAATATTATAAGGACTGTATCAGATTATCTTCCGCTGCAATAAGTGACAAGTTCTACAGAAAAATCTCAGTTTCTACAACCGAAGAGGAATGCATCTAATAATCACTAACAAATATATGTATTTCTATTCCAAAGAAAATACAATGCGTACTTGATTTTTCGTTATAATTCTTAGACTTGGCTTCATTATAGCACATACGCATACACAGCAGACTAACAAAAATGGGACTAGCATACTGACACCTAGCTGCACTCTACTTTCCTTTATGATGTGGTTATTTGAAAAGGAAGAATAATGATACTAACATGCATACCTAATGTAAGTGAAAGCCTTAGCTTTCAACATTAAATTTTCTAAACAGTGTGTTTTAAGGCACCTAATGGTAAACATTAGTCGTCAGAGACAGACAACCTGGAAAACAGCTGTCAATAAAGACAGTTAATTCTTCACTTAAAGACACTGGATATTCAAGAAAAAAAACAGGTAAGAAGAAACAGATGAATTCTTTCTTTAAAAGAAAGAAGAGATATTTCATTAGTGACATCCAATAAAATGCTTAGTTTGTAATAGATTTGAAATTGTTGTTTCTTGAAAGAAATTTATTTTCAGTACACAGTTTGCATGTGGCATCTGTATACATTTGAAGCTTTTTAAAACGGCTATAAGTTGGCAGAAATACATAATCAGTCTTCATTTATCATGTCCTTTGTTCGATGGCAACTAGCGCCAGAATCTACGAAGCGCATTTCTTCCTGTTTGGAGCTTGTCAGCTCGATATGCCTGAAGTCGTAATGAGTGATAGTATTCTTGCCGAAGCTCGAACACTATCACTTACTTGGAATGAGGGCTCATCCAGACGATGAGTCTCAAATAGGTCGAAACGAGCACCCTGGATTCAACTGCAAGTATTCATCAGCTGAATAACTGTCTGTTATTCAAAGAATTCGGCAAAGGAAATTTTCTTTCCGACGATTTCATTTCCATAGCTGTACTGTCATATATATATATATACGATAGTACAGCTATGAAAATGAAATCCTCGAAAAGAGAATTTTCTTCTCTGAATTCTTCGTTTTTGTCTCAATGAGGATTATTAATTTAATCGTTTAAACCCCGGGCATCGCCGAGGCATTCGTACTAGGAGCCGGCATGTCAACAGGGACCAAACAGTTCGGTCCTACATAATCAGTCGACGGTATATACAAAATGAAATTCAACAGATCTTCATTTGTGATCTTCAAATACACGAAAATATAAACTTTAATATGCAAGTAACAAAGATACACCCAAATGCTGCCATCTTAGTTTACCATTATGGAGGTCTGCCATAAAGAAGATAATTTCTTCAACGGTATTTCATATTGCTTTGTGTCAGTGGAATGTAACTTGTATACCTTCAACTAAATGTTGCTAATATTTGGTGTTAGGAAAATTTAATCATCACAACATTTCATTAGTGGCTGGTTTAATTGGCTTCACATAAAATGATTTTACAGCAGATATTCCAACGTGCTTTATTCGCAGACACAACTAGAATTGTAGCCTCTTGTATTATTACATCAAAGACATATTCGCCTAATTAGGTTTCGGAAATCCGACAAAACCTCAGTCACATTCATTCTACCTACTTACCAAAAAATATACATGTCTGATAAATTCCCCGAATTTATCAATTTACGAGAGCTGCACATAAGGGGTGAATAATAAATGTATCAACTGTTATTTATTATTAGTGTTTCTTCTAAATCCTAGAGAAACACAGGGCTTCAGCCGCACGTCTCCATCGCGTTCGGTTCTCTGTCAACGTTTTCACTTGGCTCTACGTCCGCCCACATGCTTTCGTCTCCTCATCACTTGACCTCCTCCATGTCAACTGTAAATGGATAATTTAATTCCGCACATATTGTTGACCATTTTTCTGTTTTAGCATGTGTCACTTTGGCTAGAGAACTTTTCGTTTCCATTTCCTAATAGGCATAAATGTGAATTAGTAACTATACTTAAACATCTTTCAAGACATATATTTATTTTTATTAGGCCCATAATTATGAGGAACTTCAGACAAAAGAAGGATTTTTGTTCGATATTGTCCTACAAGCTTTCATCTTCTATATATAATAGTGAGTGTACCGTCTACTTGTGATTATTTTCATCGGACACGATTCCTGCCAGAAAATAATAGATTAGAAGAAAGGAATTAAGCTACCAAAGGCTAATTCAACGGGCCCACTTAAATGAAATGTATGTATACACAAACTAATCATTTCAAATCTGTAATATTAATGGAATATACTGAGGTGTAATGACAGTTGACTAAGCCTGTCATTTATTCAGAGTGTCATAACACATATTCTAATGATCACTTTGCGATAATTATGACCACGAGTTAAGCAATTTTAATTTGTGACTAACCTTAATACAAAAGTGCTTTAGATATAAATAGTTCATATATATTAGACATCAGACCTTGTTCAGTTGAATAAGTTCACAACTAAATCGAATGATTGGTTAGTGCGGATAAAAGATTATAATGATGATGCGAGGACAGTGAATAAAACAAGCATAAAATGGATAGGTTATGCTGAAAATAAATAATTTGTAATTTATTGAAAAATATTTATGTTTACATTTACTCCGTTTTCATTATTCTCATGTATAAAAGACATTCAGCTGGTAGTCACAATATTTTTCAAATGAATTTCAATATTTTACACAGTAATCAGATTAATTAGTGTGACTTTGTCTGGATAAACACAGTTTAACATCACAATGATAACGTTTTTGTCAATTAGTTTTATAGTAGTAAACAACAACACTTAATTGATTAATACCAATTGAATTGATTGTAAATGCCTGGTTTTAGAGACGTGAAGTCAAAAAAAAAATGCAGAGTATTTCGTTATGAGCACTACTTTGTTGCATCAGAAACACATTTTCAAATTAACTGATGAATCTGAAGCCGGTTACACTTA